TAACTGCTGGTTCCCAAGTATGTATTTTTTTTAAAAGGATTAATTTAATTAATTTATTATTATTTAAAAAATTTGACCAGAGGGATCTGGTAGGTGGTGTGGTAGTTAAGGACACTGGACTCCCACATGGCTGATCATAGTTCAAGTCCTGGACCTTGCTTTCTCACTTTCCCTCTTACTCTGGTCAAATTAAAATAAATAAATACAGTTAAAAAATTCTGAAAAAATAAAAAATTGGAAAGAAAGAGACAGAGAAAGAGAGAGAGAGAAAGAAAGTGAGAAAACAAGCCACCAAGCCTGGGACTCAAACCATGGTTGGTTATGTGAAAGTCCAGCAACTTAACTACTACATCACCTGCTGGCCCCAGCCAACCAGTAAATATTTTTAAAAATTGGAGCCGGGGTCTGGAAGGTGGCATGGTAGTTAAGACGATGGCCTCCCACATGGCCAACTGTGGTTTGAGTACTGGGCCTAGTGGCTTGCCTCACTTTCCTCTTTCTCTAGGGTCAAATTAAAATAAATAAATAGGGGCCTCTTTTTCGTGGCAACTTGGAGGAGGTCAGCTGCTTCAAGATGAAGCTGAATATCTCCTTCCCAGCCATGGGCTGCCAGAAACCCATTGGAGTGGACGATGAACGCAAACTTCGTACTTTTTATGAGAAGCGTATGGCCACAGAAGTTGCTGCTGACGCGCTGGGTGAAGAATGGAAGGTTATGTGATCCGAATCAGTGGTGGAAACGAAAAACAAGGTTTCCCCATGAGGCAGGATATCTTGATACATGGCCGTGTCCACCTGCTACTGAGTAAGGGACATTCCTGTTACAGACCAAGGAGAACTGGAGAAAGAAAGCACAAATCTGTTCGGGGTTGCACTGTGGATGCCAATCTGAGCATTCTCAACTTGGTCATTGTTAAAAAAGGAGAGAAGGATATTCCAGGACTGACTGATACTTCCGTACCTCGTCGCCTGGAGCCTAAGAGAACAGAATCCGAAAACTTTTCAATCTCTCTAAAGAAGACAACGTCTGCCAATATGTTGTAAGAAAGCCCTTAAATAAAGAAGGTAAGAAACCCAGAACCAAAGTCCCTAAGATTCAGTATCTTGTGACTCCCCATGCATGTCCTGCAACACAAACGCAGGCATATTGCTCTTAAGAAACATACTAAGAAAAATAAGGAAGAGGCAGCAGAATATGCTAAACTTTTGGCCAAGAGAATGAAGGTGGCTAAAGAAAAATGCCAAGAACAGATTGTGAAGAGATGCAGGCTGTCCTCTCTGAGAGTTTCTACGTCTAAGTCTGAATGCAGTCAAAAATAAGATTTTTATGAGAAAGAAAGAAATAAGATCAGATCTCAAAAAAAAAAAAAAAAAAAAAAAAAAAAAAAAAAAAAAGAAAAAAAAAAGAAAAAAGAAAAAAACAAAAGAAAAGAAAGAAAGAAAGAGAAAAGAAACAGGAGCAGCATGATAAATTGGCTTTTCTTCATCAGGTAATGAATGCTGTTTCTGCAGACCCATGTCCTTTTGCAAGCTCCAGTTCAGATATTTTGTGTCACTAACAGATTTTTTTTTCTTACTTCATCATACTTGCTTATTCCACAGCTGCTTTATATTTCATACCAAAATCCCTTTAAAAAAAAAAAAAAAAAAAAGAGAAAGAAATAATAAATAAATAATTCTTTCTTTTCCTAGAGAGATTTTTGCTATAGGACACGTGTGGTTGCTGGAGAGACAGACACAAAGTGAGAAATCACTCCCCCGGGAGATGGCCACATCACAATTCCTTCTCCTCTCAGGATTTTTTTGGGCATGCATGCACATATGCCCGATGTGAGGTTTTTTTTTTTTTAAATGAGACAGATAACAATCACTATTTTTCAATTTTTCTTTTTTGGAGAGGTTTTTGCTATAGGGTGCGGGCACTCGCCAGAAAGACAGAGAGAGACAGAGAGACAGAAAGAGAGAAATCACCCCCTAGTGGGGATGGCCATGCTGCAACCCCTTCTCCTCCATTCTCTCGAGATCTTGGTGGGCATGCATGCATGCATACGTCCCCGGTGAGTTTAAGCCACTGGGTCCGGGACTCGAACCATAGTCAACTACATGGTAGCCTAGTGACACAGCCATTACATCAACTGCTGGTCTCATATTTATTTATTATCATTATTTTTCAATTTTGACCAGAGATGGACAGAAAGAGAGAGAGAGAGCAAGCCGCCAGGTCTGGGACTCGAACCGCAGTTGGCGACGTGGGAGTCCAGCACCCTTAATCACCACGCCACCTACCAGCCTCCTGACATGAGTTTTAAGTCACCAGTCTGTGACTCTAATTGTAGCTGATTATGTTAGTCCAGAAATGTAACCATTACACCATGTGCTAGTCCCTAAATGAGTAATTATTTATTTTTTAAAAATGATTTTATTTAACTTCATTTATTTATTTAGTTTAATCTGACCAGGTAATTCAATCAGAGAAAGACAGAAAGAGAAAGTAGGAAAGCAAGCCTCCAGGTCCGGGATTTGAACTGCAGATGGTTATATGTGAGCCCAGCACTCTTAACTACCATGCCACCTGCCAGCCCCCTAAATAAATAATTCTTAAAAAAAAAAAAAGGAGAAGTTAAAATCTTCCCAGAAAAAGGAACTAGGCCTGGATAGTTTCACAGGTGAGGTTTTACAAAACTTTGAAAGAACAGACTACCTTTATTTTATGTATTCAAGCTGTTCCAGAGATTAAGTAAACAAAATGATACAATTTATTTCAGAAATCCTGAAAGCAAATGGGACATGCCAAGAATATCTACTTGGACCAGTGGGTGGCACAGAAGTTCAAGGCGCTGGATTCCACATGGCTGACTCCACAGTTCAAGTCCCAGACCTGGTGACATGAAAGTCATGCTGGGTGTGTGTGCCTGTGAGACCAAAATCCTGAGAGAGAAATGGAGATGCAATTGTGGTATGGCCATCCCCCCTGGGGGGTGATTTTTCACTTTTTCTGTTTTTCTTTGGTGACAGCAAGCACCTTATGGCAAAAACCTTAAAAGAAAAATGAAGGGGGGAGCAGCAGGTGACAGTGGTTAAGGTGCTGGACTCCCATATCGTTGACCATGGTTCAGTCCCAGACCTGGAAGGTTGAAACTCAACGCAGGCATGTGTGCATGTATGCCCAAAATCCCAAGAGGAGAACAGAGAAGAAGGGATTGCAGTGTGGCCATTCCTCCTGGGGGTAGGTGATTTCTCACTTTCTCTCTGTCTCTCCAGTGAGTGTAAGCACTCTACAGCAAAATATCTCTTAAAAAAAATCTTTCATTATTATTTTTTTAAAAGAGATTTTTGCTATAGGGTGTGTGTGCTTGCTGGAGAGACAGACACG